ATAAATAAAATTATAAAAATATAGAATTTTTCATATTTATAGCAAAAAATATTTTTTTTGTTAAATGTAAATTAAGAATTGAATAAAATGATAAATTCATATTTATACCAAGAAATGTTTACATAGAATTCAAATTTAATGTTACATGAATTATTTATAACTTTGTAAAGTTAAATTTAAATTAAAAAAATAACAACTAAATGCATTTCTAATTATTACTATCAAATATTTATAGTATAAGTACATCCCAACTAGGTTGGCTCTCTCATCTACTTTTTTTTCAAATTTAAAAAAAAAATAAAAAAATTCACTGGCCAACGGGTTAACCGCGGTCCGTGAAGGTACAACTCGTGAAACTTGCGGGTTACACCTTGTTGACCTGTGAACCGCTCGTTCGAGTCACGGGTCGGCCCGCAATCCATGGTCGATTCGAGCCGATTTTCACTGGTCTAGTCGGCCGTCGTCTTGACACCTCTAGTAGGGAGCCACAAATATTGACTGAATTAACTAAAATTATCAATGCGTCCCTTTAATTTTTATTTATTTATTTATTTTTTTGATAACAAAAACAGATTTAATTCATCGTTGGAAAATTAGACCAATGCATCGTGCTTAATAAATGTGTGAAACAAATTCCGAAGGATCACTCCACCACACTACCAAGTCATCGAGATGCCATGAATTCCTAATTAGATAATGTGCTGCTGAATTAGACAGACGGCTTTTATGTCTTACATTAATATTCGGGAATCTATTCATTAGTATTCGAATATCTTGTATCAAGTTTCCCCATAGGAACAGAGATTCAGCCGGTGTTTCTGTCAACTCTTGGACCACTAACGGAGAGTCACTCTCTACTTGTAAATTCGGGATGGACAAAGATAGGCAAATCTGTAAACCCCTTAATATTGCTAAAAACTCCGCCTCCATTGGGTCCATATTGCCCTTCTCTGGTTTGCTAGCTGAGAAAATTACTTGTCCTATTGCATCTTGGATGATCATCCCAATCCCATATCTACGTTGATCTTCAAATAAGGCCCCATCAACATTAAGCTTTAGGACCCTTTCTGGAGGTGCATTCCACCCTGTTCTATGATGACTCCCTTGCTGACGCTGCTTATTTGCACTTTTAAAATCACCAGCAATACTAAAAGCATGATTAATATCCAACAGTGGGGCTAATAGTTTCTGCTCAAAGATAAACTGGTTTCGGCGGTACGACAATCCCCACAAGCATAAAAATAATTTATCTAGTTCCCCAGAACTGTTCCTGCTAATTACAAGATTTGTAATATGCATGATATCCCGCTGCTCAGAAGTATTTCGTAAGAAGTTCAGCTTGATTGACAGCACAGGTCCAATCTAAGAGCAGTATAATAATGCATGGTTTATATTTTCGTCCTCTTTATTACAGAGCTTGCATCTTTCACCAATTTCTTAGTTTGTAGATTTCGAACTGTTGGAAGCCCATTGTGGCAGACTCTCCATGCAAACACACGTATTTTATGGGGGATATGCATTTTCCAAATTTTATTCCACATTTTCCTTTGATCATTGGCATAGGACACTTCACCTAGCTGGTTAGCACCATTAATCTTCAAAAACAATCTGTAGCCACTTCGAACAGTATAAAGACCCTTTTTCTCTGGTTCCAAAAAATCATTACATCTGGTCAGGAAAGTCCTCCTATTAATTGTATTTGGAAAACCTCATAGGCGTCTCTAGGATGTAGTAATCTAGACACCTTCGTAATATCCCATCGTCATGTATCTTCATCAATCAGGCGTGAAACTGCCCAACCTCTCAGATCTTCATTAATACCATCTGGGTAGCTTATTAAGTGATGGTTTGGCAACCAATAATCAGTCCATATGTTTTTCTCCTTTCCATCACCAACTCGCCACCTACAATCTTCGAACAACAGCTTTCTGGCCTCCTAAGTACCTCTCTACACATAGGATGGATTAGCTCCCAACTTTGCATCCTTAAAATGTCCATGAGGGAAGTATTTAGCTTTGAAAATATCCTATAGCAATGACCCGTCCCCTTGTAGAATTCTCCAGCCTTGTTTTGTTAAGAGAGCCATATTAAACGCATGAAGATTTTTAAATCCCATTCATCCTCTTTCTTTAGTGTTACATAGCATCTTCCACCCTACCCACTAAATTTTGTTTTCCTCATTCCATTGTCCCCACCAAAATTTTGCAATCATACTTTCCAACTCTTTACATAAAGATATTGGAAGTTTGAAGCAATTCATTGTGTAAGTGGGGATAGACAGTGCAGCTGTGACGAAAGCTTTTCTTTCCATCCCTTTAATTTTTGCCACACTTTTGTTTTAATACTTGAAAAAGCTCTCCTCATGTTCCCCCCCCCCCTCCCACCATTTAGGGAAGTCGTAAATAATGATTATAATTTTGGTGATGTTGGATACCCCAAAAATCCAGGATTTCTCTTTGAGTGGTTTCTGATACAGACTTGCTGAAAACCATGGCTCTCTTTTCTCTGTTCACCTTCTGACCTGAAGCATGCTCATATTCCTCAAGTAATTGGAGTATATATGTATTGGTTTGGAGAGAAGCATTGTAGAATAGGACAATGTCATTTGCAAACATGAGGTTGTTGACTTTTGGAGCCCCTCAGCATACATGTATACCTTCCACCTTTCCTTGATCAACAGCTTGATTTAATAGAGCTACCAATCCTTCACTGCGTAGCAAAAATAGGTAAGGGGATATGAGGTCCCCTTGTCTAATTCCCCTCGATGGACATATAGGTCCCTTAGGTTCTCTAATAATCAAGATAGAAAAGGAAGCTGACCTTACATAAAGCATAATCAAAGTAATCCATTTGTTTCCAAAGCCCATTTACTCCATCACTGTCTGAAGGTAATGCCATTCAACCCGATCATAGGCTTTACTCATGTCAAGTTTAAGTGACATGAAGCCCTTCTTCCCTTGTCTCTTTGTTATAAGAAAATGGACAAACTCATATGCCACAAGTACATTGTCTGAAATTAATCTCCCCGGAACAAAAGCACATTGTGATTTGGATATTAAAGCAGGTAGTATGCGTTTAAGGCGATTTGCTAGCACTTTGGAAATCAACTTGTAGAAAACATTGCATAGGCTAATCGGTCTATAATCCGACACCAACTCAGCCTGTTTCTTTTTAGGAATAAGGATGATAAAAGTATGGTTTAACGGTATAGGAAAGACACCATTATTTAAAGCATTCAGTACCGCACAAGTGACATCATTTCCAACTGTAGACCAGTATTTTTGGTAAAAGATGGGGGCCATACCATCGGGTCCTGGAGCTTTAGTAGGATGGATTTCATTTAAACCTTACTTAACCTCTTCGACTGTGAACTCCGCGTCTAATGTCTCTTTCATTTCCGTTGTCACTCTTCTGGAGCTTTGGTAGGATGCATTTCATGTAAACCTTACTTAACCTCTTCGACTGTGAACTCCGCGTCCAATGTCTCTTTCATTTCCGTTGTCACTCTTCCCCTCAGATTATCTAAGAAATGCACGTTGCCTCCTTCACATGAAGCTGTGAACAGATTCTGAAAATAAGCTAATATCTCAGCGTCTCTTTTCGCTTCAGCTTTCCAATTACCATCTGAACCGCTTACACCTGTTATAAAACTCTTGGATCGCCTCGGTGAAGCCTTATGGTGAAAGAAAGAGGTCTTTTGATCGCCTTCAGTCAGCCATAAGACTCGTGACTTTTGCCTCAACATTATTTCTCCTCGTTCAAGCCATTTATTCACCTCCAACCTAGCTTGTTTCAGTGCCTCCTAAGATTGTCTTTTTGGATCCATCTCTGTCAGCCATTGTAGCTCATGCTTGGCTTTCTTCGGCTGAGCGTATACATTACCGAAATGTTGTTTGTTCCATGCAGACAAGAGCTCACCACAACACTGAATTCTTGCACTGATTCCCAGTATTCCATCAGTAGTATGGCCAAGCCTCCAAGCTCTTTCTACCAGATCTTTACATCACTTCTCTTTTGTCCTCATAGCTTCAAAGCGAAAAATCTTCTTTCCTTTCCGTTGTGATGAATTATCTCGCAGAATTAGGGAGATTGGTATATGGTCAGAATGAGCAGCGAAACCGTACTTTATGAAAGCTTTTGGGTACATGGACTTCCACTGAAAATTTGCAAGTTCCCTATCCAATCTTTCTCTTATTGTTTTCCCTGATTCCCTATTATTACTCCAAGAAAACATAGTTCCACGAAAACCCAAGTCGGCAAGGTTACAGTCATCGAGAACATCTCTAAAATCTTGAATTTATCTATCAGGTCTATCCCCCCTCCACTCTTTGCAGCTCGATTCAAAATCTCATTGAAATCACCCATTAGCAACTACCCAGTACCCTTAGGGACATGTAGGGATCTCATCAAGTTCAAAGTCTCCATCGTTCAACTAGCTTCCGGGTGGCCATATACTTCTGTAAAAAACCATACCCCACCCGTTTGCATCTCAATAGATGCACGAACACAGTTCTTTGGGAATTTTTAAATACTAACTATAACTTCCTTCTTCTATAGTAATGTAATTCCCCTGCTTCTGCCCTCACTACTCACAAAAAAACAATTATCAAAACCTAGACGAAACTTCAATCGATACATCTTTTGTTCATGTAATCTTGTCTCTTGCAAGAACAAGATTATGAGATCTAGTTCCCTGACTAAATCAGAGAGAACCCAAACTCCTCATGGGTTCCCAAGTCCACGAGAGTTCCAGTTGAGGATATTCATGGATTTTGGAAGGGCTGATGAACAACCTCTGCCGATACAGAATCAAAAAGTTGAAGATCGATAGGCTCATCTTCCAGAGTGTGATTCTTGCTTTTTACCTTGCCATATTGCATCTTCAGTCTCTTTTTTTCGCTATCCCCTGGCCTCTTTTTTGTTTAAGACATAGTTTGCAAGTTAGGTGAGTTCTCAATGACATGAGCTCGTTTATTCCAAGTGGGCCAGGCTTTGCTGTTATTTGGTTTCTGTGGAATCCCCAGGCCAACATATCCAAAAGGGCTTGAGTTTTGAGTTTCATCCAGGCCATTGGCCAAATTAGTGGCCCTAGTTTCCGTTCCAGCTGTGTATTACCTTCACTGCTCTTCAGTTCCACAGAATTCGCACTGTATCTCCCAGTCATCTCCTTTGATTGCTCCATTTCATTCAATTTCAGATTCCCAGCTGATCCTTCCTTATTTTTTGGTTGCGTATCCCGCACCTTTCCATCTACTCCACAACTGACAACTGTAATCCCAGAGGCTCGATTTGCATCATCCGGTACCGGAGCGCCGCAGTGACCTCCACTAGTTGCCGTTCTGCCATATCAAGTTTCATAATAGGTGGTTTTGAGTTGGGGATAAGAAAGGCCTTTTACTTGCGATTCCCAGCCTCTGCTTGTAACCAGCTACCATATTGCTATGTTTGAATCCAAAGCTTTTGGACATCCAGCTTGATCATGAATAATCCTTCCACACTTTAGGCAAAACCAAGGGAGTTTTTCATATTGGATTGGCACCCAAGTCTTGATTCCTTCCAATATCACCATCCCTCCCCTCGCTAGAGGTTTCAATAAATCCATGGAAATTTTCACACGCAACGAAATCCCTCATCCCACATCATCTTCATCGACTTTAATATCTTCTACATTGCCTATTGAACCCCCTACTTTGATACCAGTCTCCTTTGAACCCAGTCTCCTTTGACATACCGGCAAATGGTAAAATGTGGAATTTCACCCACAATGCCGCCCCATCAAACTTCATTTTGCTCAATGGTGTGTAACCATGAAAGCATTCATCACGTAAATCGACCCATCAAACAGCCATGGTCTTCCCTCTTCCACCCGTAACTTATCAGCGTGATTCGCAAACGTAATCACAAAGGTATTTTGTCCCATCACAGTAAAAATCGATGGCTTACTAAGTTTCCAGATCTTCCCTATAGTGTATTGAATCACTGTCTTACTTATCGGCCTGTTAGTCCAGATCTTACTTATCTGTCTTACTTAAATGTGTCCCTTCAATATTTAATTCATTATTCTTTAAAAATGGGCATTTCTAGTAATTGGACAAAAGTTGAGTCAACAATTATTGCATTTTTGAGACCCACCTATCTTCCCAATGAACAAAAATTGAAATAAAATCTTTATAAAATCCATCTCGGACATCTCTTTAATATTATTTTAATTATTATATAGTTCTGATTTGAGACATAATTGAGATGGAGCTTGGAAGTTGAAACTGTAGTGAGCAGGCCTTGCTATGTGGAGTTTTTTTATAGGCTTATTTTTTTCTAAAGTTTCAATTAGTTAGGTTTTTTGTACTATAAAAATAAGAAAACACTACCTCCCAAACGTGCTTTTTTCTGCTTAGGTGTGCCTTAAGCTATCAACACCGTTTAGAACACGGTTTTAGTCTTTTAGACAAACGTAGATAACAAGTTGGATAAATTGAAAGGAATTAAAGTGTGGCGAACAAAGATACTTATATGTGGAGAAATTTTCCCCCAAAAAACTCCATGTGCATCACACTCAATTTCCTTCTAGTCATTAATTTCTCTACTCCATTTCCAAGAAATTTGTCCCTTATCAAATCATGTCACTAAGTCTTCCATTTTCTGTGAATTCATTTCTGCCAAATTCTGAGTTGTAATAATACTATTCCTTCTTGTTCTTGGTGTGTTGTAATTGATCCTTTATGGTAATTAATTTCTATAGAGATTGGAGCAGAATGAACGGTGGACTAAGCAAGCTAAGTAGAGTACTAAGTATAATCTGTTGGGGATATTACATAGATAATGTGCATATTATATTCACAAAAAAAATACCGCTTATACGCGTGAAATCAAAACATAATTCGACTTACCAAAATAGTTGAGAAGAAGACGTAATGATTTACCTAATCCGAATACATGAATATGGACTTGTCACTTAATATTTTTGAATGAAAACATGTCATTGAACCTTACAATATAAACATATAAATAAGGTTAACAATATTCTAAAATCAAACATAATTGAAATCTGAAATGAGAAAGATAAGGAAAGAAGAGATGCTAGTAATGCAATTGACCGAGGCAAGTGTTGAACACCTTTTCCTTAAATTGGATTTGCCCCGTATCGGTGCTAACGATTTTTCGGCAACCATCTCCCAAGATACAACGACCACATCGAGCCATAGGAGCACTCCAAATGGCTTAAACCCACGAACTCGAACGGAATTCTCTCTTTACCGAACTTATGATTTTATGTAAAGAAATTACTCTTGATGAAGTGTTTTATGCAACATAACCTTTAAAGAATGATATGGAATTATAAATACACGTCCAATGGGTCCTATATATAAAGGATGAGGGGTTGTAAATGAAATGTCGCGTCCCAAACTTAACAACTCTTGCCAAATGTCGCAACATTCATTGTCGCTAGCCTATCGCTAGCACGTTTCTCGAGCTAAAATAACAGAGACTCTGTTGCTAGCTTGTCACTAGCATGTTGCTCGAGAGATAACCCGGCCATAAGCTAGCAATAGCTTTCTCTATTTTCCTTCCAACTTTGGACCGCAATTTCTCATTCATTTGGAATTGGTTTTGAGATTCCAAATATACCACGATGATCTACTCGACGAGTAGAACAAGTTGAGTTATCTACATTTTTCAAGTTTTTGGTTTTACCACTTAACCAAATTTCAATCTTCAAACCAATTTCCAACATAATCTTCTTAATTTCACTCGAGACAATTTTAGCTTAACTATTGTTCATTCTGTGGCACCGCCGTATCTTCCGCAGACAAAACCCACAAGCCAGCACTATCGTGGAAGGCGCTAGAGATTAGCTATCCTATCATTCTTCTTCCGATTCTTTATTTTTGTCCATAGCCTCCTCCAAGGAGTTGTTTTATTTCTTCTGCATAAGATCTCACTCCTACTCTCGTGTGGAACCCAAATCCATAACTTTGACTAATTATCATAATCAATTCGAACGGGGAATCGGAGATGGAAGAAATTGATATCGACATCATGAAGCTTCAAGAAATGCATGAGCCGCCAAGATTCTTGTTCACCATCAAAGAAGAGGAGAGAGAAGAATTGGAAGCAGTCGCTTAGAATAATAATAATTGTGCAATTTGTGATACCTTACAAAGCAACACCAATGCCAAGCTTTTTGCTCAAACAGACTCAACCAAAAAAGGCAGCAGAAATTGCTTTACCGAAACCCATTTCCAAATTTAACACCAAAATCCCACAAATAAACAATTTGAGAATCCCATGTTCAAGATTTTTCACCATAAGAATGTCAGCCACCACCACCCCCATCACAATCTGTAATGAAGAAAGAACGCTGAAAAAAAAAAGAAAATACCTCCAATAAAAGCCAAATCAACGAACTCGGATGATGACAGAACAGTTGCCGAGCAAATCTTGAGTCAACCCAATGAAGATGAAGTACTTATTATTGAAACTATGATACCATGTGCAATTTGTGATAGCAAAATGAGGAAGAAAGAAACCATGGAAGCTAGGGTTCCAAAAAAAAGATCAAACTCGGTGATGGTTCGATTGAAATTAAAGAGAATGAGCAATTACAAGGTATAAATAGTAAAATAGAAAAAGGACTAAACTACCCTTTAACAATAAGATAAATAACTAATAACTAATTCTACTAATATCCCCCTTCAAACTTACGATGTGACAGCAAGGAGCATCGAGAATTTGTTAATCAAAAAACGAAAACGCTAAACGGGATGTGATTTCTTGAAAAAATCAGCTAGTTGCATCAAAGAAGAAACAAAAAGGTAGAATAAGAGTGCCATATTGAAGATGGTGACGAATAAGATGACAATCAATTTCAATGTGCTTTGTCCGCTCATGAAATACAGAGTTGTGAGATATCTGAATAGCACTGTTATTATCACAGTACATAGGAGTCGGAGTGGAAAGAATAACGCCCATATCAGCAAGTAACCAACGCAGCCAAACAATTTCAGTAGTAGTAGATGCCATAGCACGATACTCAGCCTCGGTAGAAGATCGAGAAACAACAGTTTGCTTCTTACTTTTCCAAGAGATAAGATAATCACCCAAAAATATACAAAAACCAGTGGTGGATTTACGATCAGTTGGATCACTAGCCCAATCAGCATCAGAGTACGCACATAGCTCTAAAGATGAGGTTGACTGAAATAAGAGTCTCTGAAAAGAAGTGCCACGAAGATAACGCAAAATACGAACAACAACAGCCCAATGAACTGTAGTAAGAGATGAAACAAACTGACTAACAATATGAACAGCCTATGCAATATTTGGACGAGTAATAATAAGATATACCAAGCAATCAACAATAGTACGATATAAAGTAGGATCTGTCAGTGGTCTACTATCAGAGGGAGAATACCGAACGTTAGTCTCAAGAGGAGTATCAACAGTTCAAGTATCAGTAAGACGAGCACCTTCAATGACGTCAGCTGTATACTTAGACTGAGATAGAAGATAATCCTTAGGAGAATAAGCAACCTCTATATCCAAGAAGTAGCGTAGAGGACCCAAGTCCTTCATTTCAAATTGACGAGCTAGTTCTGACTTTAAGATAACAATGCCATCAATATCATCACCAGTAATAATCATGTCATCAACATATAAAGAAAGGATAATACGACCTATTGATGTACATCGAACAAAGAGAGCAGAATCATGATAATTGGACGAAAAACCAAGAGAGGTAACAACAGTAGAAAACTTTTCAAACCAAGTACGAGATGTTTGTTTGAGATCATAAAGTGCCTTCTTAAGTTTACAAACGTCTCCAGGGTTATGAGAAATACCAGGAGGGGGCACCATATAAATGTCCTCGTGAAGAGTTCCATTCAAGAAGGCATTTTTCACATCCATCTAAAAGACACTCCATTGACGAACAGATGCAATAGCAATCAATGTATGAACAGTAGTCATCTTTGCAACATGAGCAAATGTCTCCTCATAATCCATACCATACTGCTGATTGAATCCCTTAGCAACTAATCTAGCTTTATATCGTTCAACTGAGCTAACAACTTTTGTTTTGATCTTTAAACCCAGCAAGATCCAACAGCACATTTACCAGATGGTAATGGAACCAAATCCCAAGTATCAGTCTTATGTAGTGCAGAGAGTTCATCAGCCATAGCTTCCTGCCAAAGAGGGTCAAGAATAGCCTCTTTATAGGAAAAATGCTCGGATAGTTTGTGAATAGAGGTTAAAAACAATTAAAGGAATCTGAATAGCAAGAATAACTAAAATTCGGTAATCGGGTATACTTACGAGAATGCTGAGGATATCGAGGGGTGGATGAGGATCTACAATCACAAAAGGTACTTGGGAGGCCATAGATGGAGTGGGAACATCAAAGCCTTCCCAATCCATTGCATTTGTACCTGTAGTGCATTGAGTATCTATAATGAGTGGGGTATGAGAGAGAGGACTATTTGTATCATCAGAGAATGGATCAATGCAAATGAGTTCAGACTTCATCATGTTATGAGAGTGATCAGGAATAGAAAAGAATGGAATATGCTCAAGGAACACAACATGACGAGAGATATACAATTTTTGACTAATAGGATCAAAACATCGGTAACCTTTTTGTCCCTCGCCATAACCTAAAAACACACAAATGGTAGAGCATGAAGTTAACTTGGTATGCTCTACTTTAGGACGAAAAACAAAACATGTACAACCAAAAACTTTCAAAAAGGAATAATCAGGCAGATGTCCATACAATGTTTCAAATGGT